CCCCATTCTTAATCTTCTTCTGATTTCCTGACTGCAGTGCCCATTTCTATCAATGTGTGATCCAAGGCATGAGAACTCTTTTACCACTTCTGTTTTTTCATTGTCTATGTTGAATTCATCAAGATTCTCCCTTGTCATTATTTTTGTTTTATGTTCAGCAATAGGCCTGCCTTTGCACTTTCTTCCTTGATCTTTCTTAGTTGTTGTTCCAGGTCTGGGACGTTTTCTGCTAGTCATTTGAATATCTGAGATTGTTGATATTCCTTCCTCCTATTTTCACTCCTCCTTCTTCTGTGTCCAAGCCTGCTTTTCTTACAATACATTCTGCATATAAGTTTAACAGGTAGGGTGATAAAATGCAGCTTGTCTGACTCCTTTGCCAATTGGGAACCATTCTGTTTCTCCCTGTTCGGTTCTGACAGTAGCCTCTTGTACAGATCCTTCATTAGGACTATTAGGTGTGTTTAAGGGCATTCCATTGCCTTTCATGATCTATGCAGTTGAAGGCTTTGCTATAGTCTATAAATCACCTGCTGATTTTTTTTTTAAATTTCCTGATGCACTCCATTAGCCTTCATATGTTTGCAATGTGGTCCCTGGTGCCTCTTCCTTTCCTGGACCCTGCTTGGACCTCTGGGATTTCTCTCTCCATGTATGGTTAGAGTTTATGTTGCAGAATTTTGAGCATAATTTTGCTTGCATGGGAGATTAGTGCTATGGTCCTATAGTTGCTGCAGTCCTTTATGTCTCCTTTTTTTGTGGATGGGGATGAATATTGATAGTTTCCAATCTGTTGGCCATTGCTTTGTTTTCCATATCCAATTGCAGACACCTACCAAAATCTCAGCAATGGTGTAGGTTTTTGGGTTCGTCTTCTGCCTGATACTGTGCCTTCCCTAGTTGGTGGATTTCAAGTGGTGGAAATGTCTTTAATTAAAAATTTGATGGTAGAGCTTATAGTCTATCAGGTCAACTCTTACATATTATATCACTTTTTTTGAGGTGTAAAAGTCTGCACTGAGAAAGGGGAACATGTTCTGGGACAAAGAAGGCTATTGGAATCCTCCCCCTTGATACAATGTCTACTACACAGCCCAAAGACACCACCCACAACCCATTTTCTATTTTGATGTTCTTTAATGAAAACTGGCATGATGCATCTCATCTAAGACTAATAGTGCTGGCTTACTCAGAAGTAAGGGTGCATTTACACTGTAGAAATGTAGTTTGACACCACTTTAGTGCTGTAGCGCCATCCTATGAACTCCTGAGATATGTAGTCTTCAGTCTTTTCTGCTAAAGAGTGCTGGTGCCTCACAAAACTACAAATCCCAGGATTCTGTAGGATGGTGCCATGTCAGTTAAAGTGGTGTCAAACTGCATTATTTGTACAGTGTAGATGCACCCTCAGGGAAGTGTGCACATGCTTGAGCCTTAGTTTTTCCCTTACTAGTTACCTAAAGATATTACTTCTTGCTTTAGATCAGCAGACATTTAAACATGAAGAAACAAGTACCACTAAATACAGTTTCTAAGCCATATCCACAAGAGACTGAAAGACATCACACAGTATATACTTATAGCAAACTTATTTTCTGAGTGTTGGTTGTTATGTAGCCAAACTGACACCCTCCATAAACAGAAAGATAGCAGGATTGCAGTAGTTTAAAAGACTGGCTATGCTCCTTCATCAGAGGCTACGATGCATAACTTTATGATGATGGAGTGTCATCACTGACAGGATGTGCAACCATGCTAACGAATTGCAACAATGCAAAAGGTGCCGCTTCTGCCGCACTGGTGACAATGCACAGTGACAATATGTCCCACTGCACAACTGTCCCATTGTGCATTGACACATACTGTGCACTGTGATAGTTGTACTTGGCCATATCTCTGCTTGTGCAATGTACGTACCCACCCCTCATGAGAACACAAATGTGCAACTTCACAGTTCAACTTTATGTGATTATACATCAGTTTACAATGATGTTATGTTCCCCACAGGATGCCAGCCAATGTTAGGAAAAAATCCTAGATGAAAGAAAACAAAATTAAAGAAAAACAGCTCACTGAGGAGTCAGCTTAGGGCTATGGAATACTAACTCTTTTGCAGGGCAGATAGAATGGAATTGAATATCCGGGAAATGGCATCCTGAACAAGAACACTCCATGATGCAACATTTACTTACAGGCCCAACTTCTCTTAAGATGCTGAAGAAAATTCAACAGCAACCTCCCAAGAGCAAATCCAACTGAAACAAACAGTGGTAGTGCTTAATTCAGCAAGGAGGTTCCAAATGGGTTGGGAGCCCATGTATTATAGAGAGCTGTAGTGACATTTTAAGAAAACAGGCATTACTTCTTGCTACTACAGTTCTCTCACCGTATCTCCGCTGTATTGCTTCAGGCAGTGCAGAAGGCGACAGGTGTTAGCCAGCCAAAAGGACGTCATCTCAAAATCATCATTGTGTTTCTGTGAAGAACCCGAAGTAAATAACATGAAAAAACACTTTGAAACTTCTGCATGTATTCATTTGTTGTGCTATGCTTGAGCTGAACTATTCAGGAAGGAATGATGGGGCTATCTCAGGACAGGAAGCAAAACAGAGGAGATAAACGGAATAGTGTAAAGACAGAGATCAAACTGATTCAGATGAAATGGATTCATGTGGTTATATTTTTAGCTTAGTTGCAAGAGAAACTAATGTTTTTTCACATGGGTATCCCTTGCACAGAATGGTTCCAGTTCTCAGTCTGTGGCAGAAACTAGGTATAAGTGTGAAGCCTAATATTTTTGGGATTTAAGGCCAAGACTGAGCTGAGACAGCCTATCTGATGCCAGAAAAAACAACACTGGGTGCTTCTGGTGGCCTTAGGCTGCTGCCTAAGTTTGACACTGCTTTAACTGCCATGGTTCCATTCTATAAAATCCTAGTATTTATAGTTTGTGGCATCAGAGCTCTCTGACAGAGAAGGCTAAATATCTCACAAAACTACAAATGCCAGTACTCCATATTATTGAGTCATGGCAATTAGAGCAGTGTCAAAGTGCATTAATTCTGCAGTGCAGATGC